ATCGCCCTCGCCAGCAACCTGCCCAGGACCGCCTTCGACAGCTGGAAGACGTTCGCCACGAAGTACTCGGATATCATGGCCCTGACGATGGCGAACCCCGGGCAACTCCTCGACGCCTTCCGCTCGGTGGGAGCGTCTGCTTCGACCGCCCCCCGGCATCTGGCGGCAACCGCCCGCAGGGTTGCGCGAAGGCTGCAAGGCCGTCGCCAAGAAGCCGAGCCGCCGCTCAGCGACCGCGCGCGGCCCTGAGCCCAGCCTCCTTCCGCCGCGGACCGACCGCGCGCGGTTTCCGGCCCAGCCACTCTCCAGAGCTACAGAGCAGCCCCTCCACGGGAGGGAAAAACATCATTCCGATTCAGCCCCGGCGCCATGCCAGGCCACGCGCGCGCCGGTCACTTCACATTCCCCCAAAGCATTCGGCGGCCCCCCCCCCCCCAGAGATTCCCAAGCTTCTCCGAGGCACTTCAGCCCCAAGTTGTCCCCAGCCGCCCCTAGATAGCCCACGGGGCCCCCGAGACAGCCCCAGGATGACCCGAGAGAGCCCCAAGCTGGCTTCGGAGCCAAGATGACCTGGAAGGCCACATCAGGAGATCAAGACAGAGAGAGAGAGAGAGAGATGACGCACGCACCTGCACTTCCGGCGCCTCCCCCCGGGATGGCGTTCGACGCCGCGTAATTAACGGAGCGCCCGTCCGCCTCGTCCCGTCCCCCCCCCCGCCCCGTCCCAACAATTGCCGGTATCTCCAACGCCGAAGACTGATCCGAGGGCCTCTTCTTGAGGGGCCGTGCCTGCATGCGCGCGACCACGGCGGCGTCCATCGATGCCCTCGTCCGCGAGAGGCGGTTCGAGAAACCCCGCGCAGTGTTTATCAGAGACTCGTCTTGGAAAAGAAGGCCAATATTCGACGGCGCGCGAAGCGCGCTCATGAAACCTTGCATATATGTGTATATATATAGAGAGAGGGAGAGACAGAGAGAGAAAGAGAGAGATAGAGAGAGATATGGAAAGAGAGAGAGAGAGAGAGAGACAAAAAAAGAGAACAATAAAAAAGAACGAAACAATCAACAAACAAAGGAGCAATTGTTGACGCTTCGCGTATCCCCACCAGCCCATCCAGAAACGATGCTCAGGGGAGTTGAGGTGATCAGGGAAGTCGGGGAGCATGCAGAATAACAAAGGGCGGGGGAAGCTGTCACAGACCCCGAGAGGGGGAGGATGGAAGAGGAGTCGTCGTCGTCGTCGTCGTCGTCGAGGAGGAGGAGGAGGAGGAGGGAAGAGGAGGAGGAGGAGGAGGAGGAGGAGGACGGAGAAGGAGGAAGAATCGGAGGAGGAGGAGGAGGAGGGGAAGGAGCTTCTTGGGGGTCTTTTGAGGGCCTCTTGGAGGGCTTTTTGGGCGCCTTGGGGCATCTTGGGCGCCTCTTGGGACCCTCTTGAGGCGCTCTGGGGAGCCTTCGGGGCGCTTTTGGGGCCATCTTGGAGGGAGTCGATCAAACAAGAGGGGGGGTTTAATTAGCGTCCCCCCTCGGAAGCCCCTAAAATCGCCTCTTGGACCCCTCTTGGAACGCTCTTGGAGTGCTCTTGGGCGCTCTTGGGGCCGTCTTGGGGCTCTTTTGGGGCTCTCTTGGGGCCCTCTTGGGCCATCTTGGAGCCATCTCCAGGCCTCGGATGGCCATCGGAAGCGAAAAGGCGAGAAAGCAAAAATCATTGATTTTCCTTAGGTTTTGGGACGATTTTGGCCTCTTCGGGGCCTCCTTGGGGAGCTGTTTGGCCACTTGGAGTTATCTTGGGGCCGTCTTTGGGCTTCTTGGAACCATCTTAGGAGCCATCGTGAGCGATCTTGCGCTATCTTGAGCCATCTTGGAGCTCATCTTGGGTTCTCTGAGGCGCTCTTGGAGCCGTCTTGGGCCATCTTGGACGCTCTAACTACCCGCGGCCCCCCCCGTCCTACCCGCGTCCAGGTCCAGGGGAGGGGGTAGGGGGAGGGGTAAACCCCTCCCCAAGGGGGAAGAGGGAGGGGTGGAAGAGGATCTGCTCTAGACCACCTACGCCCAGAGGGCTGGTGGGATTTCAATAGCAACAGAAGCAGCACGTGCCAAAGTACAACCAAGAGGGCGCACGAGTTCGGACGACGAGTCGTGCGCGTCTGCCGCGCCAGCCAGCGGCCGAACGCCCAGCCAGAAGGGCGGCGGCGCCGCCAGCCTTGGAGCAAAAGCGCGCACGCGTGAGGGCACCCTGCCGCGGGCAGCCGTGGCCAGGGGCCGCCTTTCCGACGTGGGCCTGCCGAGTGTTTGCCACGCTGCCGCCCGTTGCCGCCCCGCTGCCGCGTCGCTGCCGCCCGTGGCCGCCTGCGCGGGTGCTCCGAGGATTCGCGGCAGGATGTCGCCCGCTGCCGCTGGGAAGTGGGCGCCCCCCCCCCCCTTTCGCCCGCCCCCCATCGGTCGGATGCAAGTCATTTGCCGCAGAATGTATTTCCCGTCGGACCGGCGGGCGACTGCGTAGAGTGCCCCGCGGAGCAGTCTGCAATGTTTTCGTGGGCTTGACGAACACATCTATCGAGGGGGTCCCTCCCCGCCCGTCGGGGCCTCCTCTCCCCCGAAGCGCCGCCGCCGAGCCGCGCGCCCGCGGCGTCCGCGGCGGAGCTCTGGGGCGACGCGCCCGGGCTGGGCGGGGGCAACCGCTCCGCCGAGCGAACCCCCCGGCCAGCCAGGTCGCGGCGCACAATGCATGCCTGTCCCCTCCTGATGTTGTTAAGTCGGGCCTGTCCTCCTACAGGAGGAATATTCAAACATAGTCAAACAATAGCCTGGGGACTATTTTTTGAGTAATTGTTCGCTATTGTGGAGCATGTTTTGAATATGTTTATTTCTCGTCGAAAATCCCCTTGTAGGGGGACGCGCCCGACTTAATGATATGGGCACAGGGAGCCAAGGGCCTGCCTGGACTCGGGGACGCGCGTCACAAAAGGCGCGTCTTTGGTACGCCCTGGGCACGTGCGTGACGGCGCCTGCGGGGCCGTCGAGCCAGGAGATCTCTGCGCCCCTATCGTTCCGCATGCGGCGGGGTCGGGGCCAGGTCCAGTCGAGCTAAGCGATTGTCTGCCAAAGGCGCCGAATGGGCCCGCCGCCTCGTTGGGTTTGGACGGCCTGGCAGAGATGGTGGGTCATATCGCTCAGCCGCCCAGGTTCTCGGCGAACTTGGCGGCGGACCTCGGGGAGGCTCTCGCGTTGCGCGACGGCGCGCGGGTCGAGCGCGTGCCCCAGCACACGCACGGCGAGCATCATGCCGAAGGAGAGCCACGCCCAGCCCCGAGGAGGGAGGGCGACGGAAAGGGCCTTGCAGACGGCGGGCCTGCGTCGTTCTCCTGGGGGTAGGCGCGTCAGTGCCAGGCACACAGACGCTGCCGACCAGAGACTGGGCGGTCCTGGCTTTGCCTTCCACGCCCTCTGGCAGCCAGGCCAAATCTGGGGGCCGAGCTTGAGCCCTGCGGGCACGGGCGTCAGCGGCGTCAGCCAGGCTGAGCAAGCTCATGGAGCTCAGGGGCGGGGGCGACGTTGATGTAGGATCTGGCCAGCTTCATCTTGGAGTGGACGTGAAGAGGAGCCCCGTTGATGAGAAGGGCCGAGACCTGGTCGAACAGGGCTGGGCTCAAAGCCCACCCCACCCTACGACCTTGCCACGGTGATTGTCTGGACAGGGGAAACCGTCGAACCAGACGAATTCTCTTTCAGCGAGAGGTCGAGCTCGGCAGCGGTGGGGGCCGTGGAACTGCTGTCGTCAACGAAAGTGATGCTGAACGACTGGGGTACAACCCTGTGCTGCCTTCTGGTCCAGACGCACGTCATCAGTTTGGTATCGTTCAAAGACCATGGGTTGTCCTGGAGGTGGCCGCTGGCTCAGGCCAGGGCGGCGACGGCGAGTACGAGCCCGCCATGCGGACCGTACAGGTTTGGTGTGAAACGTGCGCAGTGCCGCGAAGATGTCCGCGGGACATCCCGCCTGGAGTGCGAGCTTGAGGCAGACGTCGGTGATGAAGTAGTCGAGACACTTCTGCCTGTCGAGGGCAGCTCCGGCGAGGGGGAGGGCAGCATGGCGGGCGCACTCGATTTGGACGTCCAGCGACGAAGAGAGAGAGAGAGAGAGAGAGGAAGAGATAGATGACAACCTAGCCATGTGTATAAATGATCTGGAGACATACGTCCACATATATGCACTCATACTTCTATATATGGCTACATGTAGGGAGAGAAAGAGAGATAGAGAGAGAGAGAGAGGGAGGGAGAGAGAGAGAGAGAGAGAAAGAGAGAGAGAGAGAGCGAGTGCGAGAGAAACAAAGATAAACACATATATATATATATACACAGAGAGAGAGAGAAACGAGAGGGATAGAGAGAGAGAGAAACGAGAGGGAGAGAGAGGGAGAGAGAGAGAGAGAGAGAATGGGAGTGAGCAGGGGGGGCACTTGCTCATGGAGGGCCGGAGGGCAGTGCAGGGGGCATTCGGCGCCATGGCGTCAGCGGGGAGGGTATTGAGTTCAGTGGCCCGCGTGTCACCGGCGGTCGTTGTCGGCTTCTCGGGGGGGGCGCCGGGGGCTTTTCAGTCAGCCCGTCTTCCCACCACAGGAGGTGGCACTCTTCATCCTGCTCCTCCTGCTCCTCCTGCTCCTCCTGCTCCTCCTCCTCCTCCTCCTCCTTCTCCTCTCTTCTCCTCCTCCTCCTCCTCCTCTCTCCTCCTCTCTCCTCCTCCTCCTCTTCTCTCCTCCTCCTTCCTCTCCTCCTCCACCTCCTCCTCCTCTTTCTTCCCCTCCTCTTCCTCCTCTTCTCTCCTCCTCCTCCTCCTCCTCCTCCTCCTCCTCCTCCTCCTCCTCCTCCTCCTCCTCCTCCTCCCGTTCTTCGCTCCCGAGGAGGGACAGGCGGCCCCTGCCGACTACCTCGCCCGCCGTTAACGTCAGGCGGGAGGGGGTGGGGCGGCCGAGGGCGCGAGAGCTCGGCGCCCGGCAGAGGCGAGTGGACCTACACCATCATCGACGACGTGTTCCCCGTGGACGAGAACGGGGAGCTGCTCTACGCGCGGTGCAAGGACGGGCCGCTGCCCGGCTTGGTGTGCTGCTCCCCCCCTCCCGGCCTGGTCTGCTCGCCTGCGCAGGGCGCCCTCGCGCAAGGAGCAGCGGAGGGGTCCTTCTTGCGCCCAGCAGTGTTGAGGACGCGCTGGCGAAGGGCACGTTCCCGACGGGCTTCTGAGGAACCGTGGGCAGCTCGAGGGGAGATGCTCGGGGAGCCCGCCTCCGTGTCCCTCCTCTCCTCCTGCTCGCCCTCCTCCCCTTCCTCTTCCTCGCCTTCTCTCCTCTCCTCCCCTGTGGCTGCTGCTGCTCCTGCTGTCCCTCAGGGCCACCCTTCTGGATCCGAGCGTTTCCTCGTCGGCGTCGCCCCCCTTCGTGTCCCTCCCCCGCCTTCCCGGCGCCTCCTGCTCCGCCCGCTGCTCCTGCTCCTGCTGCTGCAGTTCCTCCTCGTCCCCCTCCCTCCTCATTATTCCTTGTCCTCGTCCTCCTTCTCCTTCTCCCCCTTCCTCCTCCTCCTCCTCCTCCACCTCCTCCTCCTCCTCCTCCTCCTCCTCCTCGTCCAGCTGCTCTTTCCTCCTCTTTCTTCTCCTCCTCCTCCTCCTCATCTTCCTCCTCCTCCTCCTCTTCCTCCTTCTTCTTTGCGTTGGATAAGCTTTGGTAGCGTAACCGCAGCGTTAATCTCCTCCTCCTCCTCCTCCTCCTGCCCCGCCTCCGGAGCATCCATCTGGGGGCACTTATCAGGCCATCTGAGGCCTGCAGGAGCTTTCAAGAGCTACCTTCTCGGAGCCTCGGCAAGACTCTAGTTGGCTTCGCTGGGGCTCTAGGGTACCCGATGCAAGGAGCCTCAAGGAGTTGCCATGGCCCCAAGTAGGGCCAGAGGCACGTCCACCACTTCCGTGAGCCTCTAGGGAGTCGAGGGAAGCCTCCTGAATCTTTACAATTTCCATGGAGCCAGCTTCAAAGTCGGCCGTGTCTTCAGGTGCTGTCAAGATGTTTTCAGGGGCTGCCAGGGGGGGGGAGGGGACAGGGAGGAACCCACGGACAGGGGAGGAGGAGGAGGGAGGCGTGCCAAGAAGTCGGACGGAGTGGGGAGGAGGGAGGGAGGAAAGGCGAGGCGTGCGATGGAGTGGGGGGCGGGGCCTGGTGGAGCGGCGAGGAGGGCCGAGGAGGGCGATGGAGTGGGGAGGACTCTGGAGCGGAAGGAGTGCGACCAAGAGGGGAGGAGTGGGGAGGATCGCCGAGGAGTGCGATGGAGTGGTGACGCGTCGGGAGGGCTGGGGAGAAGTTCCGAGGAGTGAGACGGAGCGAGGATAAGGGAGGAGTCCCAAGGAGTGGGGAGGAGTGCCGAGGACTGCGATGGAGCACAGTAGAGAGGTCTCCTGAGGAGTGCCGAGAAGTGCGATGGAGTGGGAAAGAATGGGGAGAAGTGTGGAGGAAGTGGGGAAGAGTCCCCTTGAGTAAGATGGAGGGTGGAGTCTGGAGAAGTGGGGAGGAGAACCGAGGAGTGCGATGGAGTGGGGAAAAGTCGTGAGGAGTGCCTAGGAGTGCGATGGAGTAGGGGTGGTTCTGGAGGAGTGGGGGGGAGTGCCGAGGAGTGGGGAGGAATGGGGTAGAGTGCTAAGGAGTGCCATGGAGTAGGGAAGAGTTTCGAGGCGTGGGGATGAGTTCCGAAGCGTGAACCGGAGGGAGGAGTCCAGGGGAGTGGGGAGGAGCGCCGAGAAGTGCATTTGGGCCTAGCCGCTGCGTTATACAGGGCTGGCCGATGAGTCTTACCTCAAAATCTAACAATCCTACCTGTCGGGTGCGGGCATCGTTGATGGTCGTCGTCGTCGTCGTTGCCGCCGGTTCTTTTTTGTCGGTTGTCGTCGTCGTCGTCGTCGTCGTCGTCGTCGTCGTCGTCGTCGTCGTCGTCGTCGTCGTCGTCGTCTCGTCACCGCCGCCGCCGCCATCGTCATCGTCGTCGTCATCGTCGTCGTCGTCGTCGCTGGTCGTTGGTCGTCGGTCGTCGGTCGTCGTTGTCCCCAGCGCCCGAAGCTCCCCATCAGCTCCCAAGGCGTCATCGTGCCTGTCCATGCCCTGGAAGGGCACAGCCCTCCACAAGAGCACGCAGCCGGAACGCGCGCCCGTTTGCTGTCTGAGTAATGTGCACTCAAACGCTCACGCCCAGACGCACAGGCAGTCGCGCCGACTGGCAACAACGGTGATGGTGATGGTGACGGTCGATAGGTAACCGTGGTTCGGTTGTGATTTCCGTGTGCGGTGAATAGATACATACGTTTAAATACAGAGAGGGGGAGAGTGAAAGAGAGAGAGAGAGAGAGAGACAGAGAGAGAGATATACTGAGAGAGAGAGAGATAGAAGCAAAACAAAACACAGCACAGAAAGAGAGAGAGAGAGAGAGAGAGACAGAAAGAGAGAACGAGAGAGAACAATTGAAGTTACCACAGAGCAGAGCGATCGGCCTGCCCCACTCGTCCCCGCGCCCTGGCAGCCTCGAGGACCCCCAGGAGGTTTGGGTCCCCCTGCTGGAGAAGGCCTACTGCAAGCTGTTCACGTGCTACGAGATGTGCGACGGGGGGCAGCCCAGCGAGGCCATATCCGGGAGGCTACCGCAGCGTTCCGCCACCCCTCCCCTCCACCTGCTCTTCGGCGTCCTCGTCATCCTGGCCCGCCCTGTCCTCTCCCGACTCCGCTCCTCCCCTCCCTCCGCCTGCCCCCCCCCCCCCCCCCCTACGCCCTGCTGCTCCCTCCCCCAAAGGAGGAGAGGAAAGCCGAGGGGAGGAGCGGGGGAGGGGAGGGCTTGGTGCGGGAGCGTGGAGGGAGGGGAGGGGGATAGATAGGGTGGGTGGGGGGGCGAAGCGGGCGGAAGGGAGGAGAGGGGGAAGGAGCTGGGAGGGGAGAGGAGGTGGAGCATGAAGGTAGGAGACGGGACGCGGAGGGGACGGGGGAGGGCAGGCGGGCAGGGGGAGGCAAGAAGGGGGGACGGGGGGGGAGGCGGGGCAAGGGGAAATAGTAGAGGGGAACTTGGAGGGGCTGCGACTCGTGAAGAAACTCTGGCCTGGGGAGCAGGTGTTCGCCAGAGCGGCCGTGGGCGCCGCCCCGAAGAATCGGTTAGTCATCGCCATCGGTAGCACTTCTGCTGCTGCTCTCCCTCCCCCTACTCCGCCGCCTGTTCCCCTGCCTGATCATTCTCTGCTTCCGTCGCCTCCACTTCCCTCCGCGCCTCATCTTGCGCGCCTCATTTTGTATGCCCCTTCCTCTCTCCCTGTGCTCCTTTACCCCCTTTTCCTCTTCTTCCTCCTCCCTCCCACCTCTCACCTCCCTCCGCCTGCTCCCGACCCCCCTCAGTCTCCTCCTCCTCCTCCTCCTCCTCCTCCTCCTCCTCCTCCTCCTCCTCCTCGTAATCAGCCCCCTGCTCCTTCCAGCCGCCTTCCGTCCACGCCCCGGCGCGCTGGCGCGCGCCGTCGCCTGCGTGCCGTGCACCGCCGAGCCCTCCGAGGCGCCAACCGCGACGGCGCTTCGCCGAGATCACAGGCTCGGGGCTGCTGCAGAACAGGTACTCTGCCGGACCCCTCGGCCTGGTGCGTCCCAAAGCTGGGCTGGCGCTCGCTCGGTTCCCCCCGCAGGCCTGCCTGGAGAGGGGAGACCCGCTCCTCGTCCGCCCACGCTGAGCCAGGGTGGCGGCACTTGTCGGGTGCCTCTGTCGGGTCGGGCGGGGATGGGGTGAGCATGCGCGACGACAGCCGCGGCCCAGCTGCCCTGATACGCCCGTGCTAAAACGCCTCACGCACATGTCCAGAGCGTCTGGGTTAAACCCGTTGTGTGTTGGTTCGAAGTGGTGGCCCCACGTTTTGGCGAACGTATCACGCCAAGTGGACGTTTTCAATATACGTGTTGAGCTCTGTGTCAACACTCCCGTGTCAACACGCTTCGGGTTTCGTGTTGCGTATCGGGGCAGCTAAGAGCCGCAGGGTTCAGGCTCCTTGCCAGGAAGCGCCGCCATGAAGCGATGCGATGAGCGTAGGGTTCAGGCTCCGCTCTCCGGGAGGCACACGAGACAGTGGGGGGGGGAAGAGAAGGAGAGAGTGATAGAGAGAGAGAGAGAGAGACAGGGACACCAACATCTATGTATATGTAGAGAGAGAGAGACAGAGACAGAGACAGAGACAGACACCGAGGCAGAGGCAGAGATATTGATCGAGTCGTTACGCTCCTTACGCTCCTGCTCCTTCGCTCGTGCTGCTCTGCTTGTCCTCCTGCACCATGTGGGCATGAGCGCGACTCCGCGTAATAATGGATGATGCGCCAATCGTTTGATCCTGCCGCGTATACAGCATCACATCCAAGTGCAGCCACCCAGTCGCTTGCCCTGGTTGTTGGTGGAGGGCCTCCCGCTTTCCGGCTGCTCGTCTCCCTCTTCGGTCTCCACCGCGCCGAGGTGCGGCACAACTTGTCGACAGGGGGCCACCAGAGAAGTGCGAACGGTACGGCACAGCTCAACCCAGCTCTAAGTCGGGCTTGTCACTCTACAGGAGGAATATTCAAACATAGTCAAACAATAGTCTGGGGACAATGTTTGGATCATTTTTGAATATGTTAGGGTATGTTTTGACTAGTTTTTATGTTGCGTCCAGAATCCCCCTGTAGGGGGACAGGCCCGACTTAAGCCCAGCTCCAGGATATCGGTCAGCGTCAGTGTCGCCCCAGTTTCGGACACCCCCGAGGACCCTGGAGGGACCTGGAAGGTCCCCAGAGGCTCCTGAAGAGACTCACAGGTCCCCAGACGTCCAAGCTCCTCGATCCTCGAGGGGCGGAGGAGGAGGAGGAGGAGGAAAAGGAAAATGAGGAGGAGGAGGAGGGAGGAGGAGGAGGAGGAGGAGGAGAGGAGGAGGAGGAGGGAGGGGGAGGAGGAGGAGGAGGAGGAGGAGGAGGAGGAGGAGGAGGAGGAGGAGAGGAGGAGGAGGAGGAGGAGGAGGAGGAGGAGGAGGGAGGAGAGGAGGAGGAGGAGGAGGAGGAGGAGGAGGAGGAGGAGGAGGAGGAGGAGGAGGGAGGAGGAGGAGGAGGAGGAGGAGGAGGAGGAGGAGGAGGAGGAGGAGGAGGAGGAGGAGGAGGAGGAGGAGGAGGAGGAGGAGGAGGAGGAGGAGGAGGAGGAGGAGGAGGAGGAGAGGGGGGAGGGGGAGGAGGGGGGTCAGTAGCCATTTTGGTTCAAGTCCGGAGGCATTGCTCGAGCGGACTGAGTTTGTGTGGCAAGGGGATTTGCGGCCCCAACTGCTTTTAACGGTCTCGAGGAGTCCGCGTACCGCACTGAGGTTTCATCCCTCACGGCTGCGGGCCTCTCGCCCTCTTTCGCGTACAATGGATGGTTTCTCTTGCTGGACCTGCCCCAGCAAGCGTTGTGGTTACCGAGGCAATTTCTCATGGCGCACCGCTTGTCGCATATGTGGACACGCTCCCAAGGGTCCCTCCCCAGGTGGCAGCGGGCGCTCCGCACCCGTCCAAGGAGTCTGGCGCAAGGGCCCGCCGCCCAGTGCGCCAAAGCAGACGCAGCAGGCCACGCTCACAGAAGAGCTCGTCGCCGCCTACGCGCGCATGCCAGAGGCTGACTTCAAGCTGCTCTCCGAGGGCTGGCCCGCCAAGCAGGTCAACCGCGTGGCGGCCAAGCGAGCCCTTGACGCTGGTGCCCCCACCTCCACAGCCAAGGCCGCGCGTCAGGCCACAGACTCGCTCCGACAGCAGGTCGAGCAGGCCCAGTCGCGTTTCGACCGTGCTCAAGACGCCGCAGTCAGGGCCATGCAGGACTTGGCGAAGTGCCGCGACCACCTCGAGGACCTCAAGAAGCAGGCAGCCGCCGCCGCCGCCAAAGCCGCAGAGGCCTACAGTGCCATGGCTGGCGTGTCCCAGGTGCCCGTCCCTGACCAGCTGGCGCAGCTGGAGGCGATGGCGGCATCCCTGGACACGGCTGTGCCAGACGAGGCGAAGCAGCTCCGCGAGCTCGCAGAGTCCATCCGCGCCAAGCTCCCCCCGCCGCCCGCCCGCGACGTTGGGGAGCCAGGCGCGGATGCGGCGCCCGCAGGCGCCGCGGGGCAGCAGCCAGCGGGGCGGGCGGCTGCGGACGCTGCACCTGCTCATGCTGCTTCTCCTCAGCCTCCCGACTGGTCCATCTGCACGGATCCCAGCAGCCAGTTCTACAAAGAGTTCTGCGCTGCCCAGGACATGCCCGTCGGCGAGGACGGCGCCGATGACGGTGGTGACAGTGCTCGGCGCAAAGCAGAACACATCTCCCTGTCCACCTTCAACGAGCTCGTGCGGCACATGCAAGAGCACCAAGCCAAGCGGGCTCGTACTGAAGGATCGTCGCTTTAGCCGCAGATCGTGGGACTTCGTCACGGCCAATGTCTCGGGCAGGCTTGGTCTCGAATGTCTTCTCGAATCGCAACCAGTGCTCGAGTCTATAGCAGTGTGCGTCCAGGAGCATCACCTGGCGCAAGTAGAAGCATGGGAAGCCCGACTCCGCATGCTAGGATGGGCAGCTAAGGGGCTGCCAGCGGCTGTCACGGCTCGAAGTGGCACTACAGGTGGTCTACTTCAGATGGTGCACAGGCGCACCGGCATGGCAGAGCTTCCAGATCAAGAGTTCTGCATCGAGAAGGCCAGAGTCAGCATCTTGCATCTCTCTGCCGTCTGCCCAGGGGGTGTGCTCTGGGTCAACGCGTACCTCCACGACTCGCAAGGCGTGTCGCAGCTGAATTGGCAGCTCCTCACCCGCATTGGTGGCATACTCTATCGATATGGGCTGCCCTACGTGGTCACGGGCGACTGGAACATCACCCCTGAGGAGCTGCAGGGCACGGGCTGGACGGAATCGCTACAGGCCACGGTGCTAGCGCCCGTCATCCCCACCTGCACCAGAGGTGAGACGCCACGGGTTCTGGCCTTTTACGTGGTCTCGCACGGCCTGCACTACGACGCCGTCGTCAGCGTGCTCAACGGCGTGGGCACGCAGGACCACAAGCCAGTCAAGCTCACGCTGCAGGGTCTGAAGCAGACCCCGCAGCTCCCGCACATCAGAGTGCCCAGGCAGTTCCCACGAGAACTGCCATCCGGTTGCTATCCGCCCAGCCAGCGCTGGGACCCCGTCCTGGCCCTCCTCCGTCGGCAGCCCGACGTCGAGGCAGCATGGAGACAGTTCGTCACGGTCATGGAGCATGAGTTTCTCGAGATCTACCAGATCCCCGACGACGAGGCCGAGCGCTACATTGGACGTAGTGAGCCGCTGTCAGTGCAGAGCAGGCGCGCACCCGTGCCTCGCCCCCCCCTTGTTCCCTCGCACCTCTCCGCTCGCCGTCTGGTTCCGAGGGCTCGTGCAGATCTTAGCCGATCTCGCCAAGTTTCAGACCGCCAGCGACAGGGCCGCCGCGCTTGCGGCAGCGCGACAGCAGGCCTCAGCCTCGAATCGTTTTCCTACCCGACATGTAGGCGCATGGCGCGCACTACTGCATGGTGCCAGATACATTGACTGGTCGCTCGCGTCGACCCTGTGCTCTGAGGCCCGCGACCTGGCCACCGCCTCGCAGCGCGATGCCGAGCGCAAGCGGGGCCAATAATGGGAGGCTTGGGCCCGCAAGCACAGCGACGCGGGGGGCGGCGCCCTATTTGCGGTCAGCAAGCCCCCGACCCCCTGGCACCCCAGCCCCTCCTTGAGTGGAGTTCGTTCTGGAGAGTGGGGGAGGAGGAGACCCCGCTGCATTGGCCAGCCGACATGGGGCCGCCGCTGCCAGATTTCTCGGTCGACGACCTCCGTGCCTGCCTGAGGACGTTCAAAGCGTCCTACGGCGCAGGTTTCGACCAGCTCAGAGCTCGCCAGCTCCTCGACCTCTGCGACGACGGCCTCGCCTCCCTCCGCCTCCTCATCCTTCTCATCGAGAGCAAGCTGGCCTGGTCCAGCTGCTGGAGCAAAATCGTGTTTCTAACCAAGCGCACGGGTGGGCTGCGTCCCATCGCGCTGCTGCACGTGCTAGCGCGCGTGCAGGCTCGCCTTCGCAGGCCCCTCCTTCTGAAAGTGGCAGCAGAGCAGCTTTCGGAGCTTTTGGTGGTCTACGTCGGGGAGGGGGTCGGAGCGGCTCGCGTGGATCCAAGCTGCCTCTTCGGAATGGGCTGTCAGCCAGAAGTTGTGCGCAGGCACCGTCCTGCTCGATCTCCGCAAAGCGTTTGAAAGTGTCAGACACGACGTGCTGCTTGACGCAGCTCGGAAGACTGGCTTCCCCCTGAGGCAGCTTCGGCTGCTCATCGGCTTGCACCGCTCGCCGCGTGTGCTCGAGTTTTCTGGCGTCATCTCGCAGCCCATCGTCACCCAGCAGGCGGTGCTTGCTGGCTGCCAGTTCGCCACGCTTTGCCTGCAGATGGTGCTTCTCTGCCCGCTCGACACCGCCCAGGCTGCCTTCATCCCGCGTGCCCGTCACGAAGTGCAGTTAGGAGTTGTGGTAGACGATTTCGGGCTGCACAAGGTTGGCTCACATCAATCTGGTAAGAGTGAGTTAGCCAGCGCCACCATCATGCTGCATCAAGAGTTGGAGAAGATTCACCTGTCAGTTCACAGGCAGAAGAGCAGAGTGCTCGCGTCCACCCCCAAGCTCAGGCATGAGCTCGCCGTGGTTCTCTGCTCTCGTCGGGTTCTTGCTGTTCAGTCCGAGCGAAACTTGGGGGTGGACTACGCGGCTGGCGGGGTCATCAAGCGATCCACCAAGCGCGGCCGATGGGTCGCTGCCGCCGCTCGACGGCGCAGGATAGTTTCAATCGCCAGCAAGCTACGCAAGCGCGTAGCTCATCACATGGTCCGAGCTGCCGTGCAGGCTTCCACCGCGCACGGGTCGGGGGTGATGGGCAGCTCGGACACCGAGCTCCGACAGGCCAGATTTTTGCAGGCCAGCGTCCAATGCCAGCGCCTGCACGGGCGCAGCCTCGCCTTACTCTTGCAGCTGTTAGGTGTTCGGCAGCTCGACCCCGCGTATGCTTTGAATATATCGCCCCTCCTCCACTTCGCCACCGCGGTCTGGGAGTCCTGGGCCCCGCGGGGCGTCGTCGTGGCTGGCCTCCAGGGGGCCCGCCGCGCCCTGGAAGGGCACTCCTCGCCCTGGAAAGCCATCCGTGGGCCGTTCCCCGCATGCGTGGCAACGGCCAAGAGACTGGGTATCAGCATTGACGGCCTACGATGGTTTCATCCCGTCGTCGGCTGTTTTTCACTGGCGGAGCTGTGCCCTCGCACGATCGTGCTCGCGCTGACGCCCGTCGTGGATGCTTGGTGTTGGCACAGGATAGCCGAGCATCTCGACCAGCCTGCCTTCCAGCGCGGGCCATTCCTGGCCCCAATTTTTTCTGGCATGCGAGCGCTCACTGCCCAGGAAAAAGCGTGCATCGTCTCCGTCGCATCGGGAGGTCAGTGGCCGCAGGCGCGGCAGGCGGAGTGCAGGCTCTCTGAATCGTCTGTTTGCCAGGTTGGCCTCGGGTCGCCATGCACTCTGCTGCGCAGGCACCTCGCGTGTCCTGGTCACGAACAGGTCTTCGGTCTCGAAACCCCACCCGTGGCCGCCTCCCTTCTTCGTGCCAGCGGCAGCCCTCCCGTTCGCCTCCTCGCCGAGAGGCTGCTGGTGCCGCTGCCTGCTCCTCCTCCTGCCTCGCCCCCTCCCCCCGCGGAGGCCTGGGTGAAAGGAGGCCCCAGCATGCTGGACGGGGGTGTCTTTCTAGACGGGGGCCTCCTCGACGGAGAGCCCCCCCCCGCTGCCCAGTCCCTCGCCTGGGCCTGTGTCGCTCTTCAGGGCGATCGGCCCACCGCGGCCGCGGTCGTCGCTGGCGGCCTCCCCGCGGGAATGTATGACATCGGCGCTTGCGGGCTTTGGGCCTTCCTCATGGCCCTTCGTTTGTCTGGCCCTGGCGCCACCTTCTGGGCCGATTCTCAGTTCGTGTTTGCAGGAGTCTGGCAGCGGGGAACAGCCTGTTGTTGCTCGGCCAAGTC